TTTAACATATTTTAGAATGTCCAAGGACTTATTTGTGCCAAAAAATTGTCCAAGGACTTATTTAACATGTTTTGGAAAGTTCAAGAACTTATTTGTTCCAAAAAAAAGTTCAAGGACTTAATCATTCCAAACAAGAAAGTTCATTGGTTTTTATTGTACTTTTCCCTTTCTAAAACAACATCAAAACCAACGTCGAGTTTGATCCATAGCCTCCTTAATTCTCTTCTCACATATATCCAACGTGCCATGAAACCTTGCACATGAAACAAAACGGTTTTCAGGACCAGGGCACACACATCTCTTTAAATCACCCTCACCACATTCGTTCACAATCAAGCTTTAGCACCATTTACACCCGAAAACAATTGGAGTTAGAGTCTTTACCCTCATCTAATATATCCTAAAAAGTTATGATAAATTTTTGTTGTATATATTTTTAATATATTGATTTTTATAATTAAGAATATAAATGATATAAAGTTAAAATGACTAAACCTAAAAAATTTGAAAATGCTATGAAAAAACATGAGTCAGGTTTTTGACATTCTGGAGATATGTTGAGATTTTTAAATTGTTGAGGTGACGTAAATATGCAAGGAAAAAGCTATGAAAAACCTTAACATAGTAGACGTTCTAAGGGGCCGTTTACCTAAACATTTACGGGTAAAATTCAACATTATCGCTTACTTACCGAGTAAGATTTTATCCACTAAAACGCATCGTATTCAACAATTTATCCCAGTAACCGCTAACCATGGTAAGAGTCTTCGTCCTTACTTACAGGGTAAGACTTTGGATTCTTGCCTTCGCTCTTACCGGGTAAGATATTTAGTCATTGCCATATTCATCTGGTAAAGTAAAGTGAATTGGTAAGCGCTTACCCGGATAAGCGTTTGGTAAACATGACCTAAGACATGAATATATTTTGATTCACTAGAAAGGTACTCGCGCAATGCAGCGAGATACATCTCGATTTTAATGTTTTATTTTATTTGTTGTCTCTGTCGATATTACAATACGAATTTTATGTGTTTTTAAGAAATCAATAATGATTTTACTTTTGAATAAAATATAAATTTGAAGATTTCATAAAAATTTGAAAAAAAAAATATATCAATGTTAATATCAAATCAACTATTTAAAAGTTTTCATTTTTTATGTACTTTTTTTAATTTATTTATTTTATTATAATTTAATTTAAGTTTAATAACGAAATAATTTATTTTT